TTTTTTTTTTTTTTTTTTTTTTAAGACCACTTGTTCTTGCAGAGGACTTGGGTTTGCTTTCCAGCACCAATATGGTGGTTCACAACTATCTGCAACTCCAGTTCCAGATGATCCAACAGGCTGTATGCCTGCAGGCAAAAGAACATTTATCTACAATTTATTTTAGGGGTTAGTGGGATGGCTTAGCTGTTACAAGTGCCTATTGGTCTTACAGAGGACCCAAGTTCAATATCCAGCACCCATGTTGAACAGCTTGTATCCACCTATAATTCTAGCTCTAGAGGATCCAGCCCTCTTTTCTGGCCTTCGAAGGGCACTCATTCATGTACACATACCCACGCTTAAGACACATGTGCACGTACCTAATTGAAAAATAAAGTCTTGGGACTGGAAAGATAGCTCAGCGGTTAAGAGCACTGACTGCTCTTCCAGAGGTCCTTAGTTCAATTCCTAGCAACCACATGGTGGCTCACGACCATCTGTAATGAGATCTGATGCCTTCTGGTGTATCTGAAGACAGCTACAGAGTACTCATATAAATAAAATAAAAGCTTAAAAACATAAAATCTTAAAAAAAGTATATGTGTGTGTGTGTGTGTGTATGTATGTTCATGTGTGTCCCTGATGTGGGTGCTAGTAAACTCATTCTGGTCTTCTACCAGAACAGTAATGCTCGGTATCCCTTGTAAGTTTATATAAAAATTATTTTATTATTTGTGTGTGTGTGTCTATGTTGTGTGTATGTGAATGCCTATGGAAGTCAGAAGAGGGTGTCAGATCTGGAGCTAATTACAAATGGTTATGAACCACCTGATGTGGGATCTGAGAACTGAATTCAGGTCCTCTCAGGGCTAAGCCATCTTTCCAGCTATCCTGAACTTTTTTATTTTTTTTTAAGATTTATTTTATAAAATAAAATAAATTTTAAGCAGAAAGATCTGGGGTTCAAGGCTGGCTTCATCCCTGTTATCATGTTTGAGGCTGTCCTAGAATACATGAGACCCTATCTCAAAAAAAAAAAAAAAAAAAGGTCCTCTCAGGGCTAAGCCATCTTTCCAGCTATCCTGAACTTTTTTTTTTTTTAAGATTTATTTTATTTATATGAGCACACTGTAGCTCTATTCAGACACACCGGAAGAGGATATCAGATCCTATTACAGATGGTGGTGAGCCACCTTGTGATTGCTGGGAATTGAACTCAGGACCTCTGGAAGCAGAGCAGTCAGTGCTCTTAACCACTGAGCCATGTCTCCAGCCCCTATCCTGAACTTTAAAAAGATCGTTTATTATCTGAAGTTTCACACGTGTGTGTTTTGGTCATATCCACCAGCTTCCTCTGGGGCTCCTCCCTAACACACTTCCCTCCTTTTTTTTTTTTTTTTTTTTGAGATAGGGTCTCATGTATTCTAGGACAGCCTCAAACATGATACAGGGATGAAGCCAGCCTTGAACCCCAGATCTTTCTGCTTCAGCCTCAAGTTCTGGGATTATAGCAGTGGTTCTCAAACATCCTAATGGTGTAACTCTTTAAATACAGTTCCTCATGTTGTGGTGACCCCCAACCATAGAATTATTCCATTGGTACTTCATAACTGTAATTTTGCTACTGGTTTTAAGTTGTAATGTAAATAAATATCTTATGTGCTGGAATATCTTATATGTGACCTACAGGTTGAGAGCCACTGGATTACAGGCTTGTGCCATCAAGCTCGGTTAATTCCTTCCTTTCTTCTTTCTTACTGTGTTTTAAAAATTATAATCTTTTTCAAACTCGCACAGCAGTCCTACCTCCTCTTGGCTGTGGTTTCTCGTGCATTTCTCTGATGCTTAATGATGCTGGATGTATTTTCAGACTTCTGCTCACTTTTTGTTTAAGGGGCTAGTCTCCTATTTCCCAGGAAGATAGGGCGCACCCAGTGGACGCAATCAGGTCCACCCTAGCTGTCCTAACCATCTTCACAGGCTGGAGCGAGTCCCTAGGTGGCGTAACGGAGCGAAACTCCGGTTGGGTAACGCCTCCAGCTGACGGGGCCACGCCCCCCGAGTCTACCCGAACGTCCCTGAGCCCTGAGGCTCCGCCTCGTGCTGACGAAGCCACGCCCCTCCCCGAGTCTACCCGAACTTCCCCGAGCCCTGAGGCTCCGCCTCCTACAGGCGAGGCCACGCCCCAGCCAGCAGGCACTGTCGTGCGAGCCGACTCGCCTCCAACTGACCTAAGCGGTCTCGGCTCGCACAGATGAGGCCTTTCGGAGGCGGCCCTGAGGTAGCCCTCAGCTCTCCAAGCCCAACCCAACGCTCCTCCTCCATACAGCCCCGCCCCTAATCGCCCTGATCAGAGCCGCTTCGGTCCCGCCTCGGCTGTCGGCAGCGCCTTAGCTTCAGGCGACCTCGCGCGGCTGTGACAGGCGCTACAGGACAGGTAACCGTTAGTCCCTCGCCGCTCGCCGTAGCCTCGGCGCTGCTACTTCCTGTGCCCGCGGACCCGGATGCGCCGAGCGGCTGCGGCGCGCTCGAGCCTCTCGGCTGTCCTGACGCGGTGGAGCGCGGCTCCCGGTGCAAGTGAACCGGACGGCGTCAGCGGGGTGAGAGGGCGGGATGGTGGGTGGCAGACGGCGGTGTCGTGCCGGACGGTCGTCGTCAGCGGTGCTGCAGCCCGCGTCGCGTCGGGCCCAGGCCGCGGCGGCGCTTTGTCGTGGGCGGGCGGGGCCGAGGGGCCGGGCGGCGCTGAGAGGGACCGGTGGCTCGGCGCGTGGTCCGGTCTCGGGAAGGCCCTTCTGTGATCCGCGCTCTCGCGTGCCGGGTTCTGGGCAGGCGCGCGGCCGTTTCCGAGCGCTCGGAAAGGCGGGGCGCTTAACGCCCGCGGCACCGTTGGTCGGCGGCGCGCGGCTTCCTTTCGCTACGTAGAGCCTTGAGCTGAGGCAGAGCGGGAAGGACTCCGGGGACCTGGGAGAGCTCCCTGGGCCGGGGGCTCCGAGGTGCAGCATCAGCCGGCGAGCCGCTGTCTCCACAGGTCTGTCCCTAGGTCTGTCCTGTATCCCGGAGCACCGCGACTTGGAATTGGTGGTTGCGCTCATCCCTGGCGGGATATTTGCGCCTCCTGTGCTCTCGATATTATATGTGACAAAACGGTGGTTTTATTTCGTTTTTGATGTTTTTGTTTTCCATTTTAAGACAGGGTCGCACGGCTGGCTTTTTTAACTCGCCATTTAGACCAGGGTGGCCTTGAACTTACGAAGATCTGGGGTTCTTGTGTGTCTGTGTGTCTCTGTGCGTGTGTGTATGTGTGTGTGTGCGCGCGCGCGCGCGCGTGCGTGTGTGTAAGAGAGTGTGTGTGTGCTGTACACTTTGAATGGCCCACAAGGCAAGCCGCATGTTAACTTTAAATCTTCTGTTTACGTATTTAGGTTTTCTGAGACAAAGTCTCATGGAAGTCCTGAATCAGCCTGAGCGGAACTCATTAAGTAACCTAAGTTGGTCTGTAGTTCTTAGCAATCCAGACGCCTCAGCCTTGGTACTGACTGGGGTTGCAGGTGTGAACCATCATGCCGGGCTGTTTTATTTACTTGTTTTTGAAACGAATCTTACTTTGTGTCCAAGGCTGGCCTCGAACCTTGGCCTCAGGTTATCTGCCTACCTCAGTCTCTTTAACTGGGAGTGCCAGTGCCTGCTGTGGTGCCTAGTCCCCCCACTTATTTATTTTTTAAAAAACATGGTGTCACTGAGTAGTTCTGGCAGGCCTGAAACAGGCTGACCTCAAAGTCAGAAGAGATCTACCTGCCTCTGCCACCTGAGTACTAAAGGATTGAAGGTGTACTCCATACCTTCCTTCTTCCCCACCAATTTTTTTTTTTGTGTGTGTGTGTTTTGAGACAGGGTTTCTCTGTGTAGCCCTGACTGCCCTGGAACTCACTCTGTAGACCAGGCTGGCCCACCAAATGTTTTAAAAACTCAGGATAGTCTAATAACGAAAGTGCCGTTATTTCCTTTTATTCTATTCTTCTAACTTTAAAAAAATGTTTGGGATTATGTAATTAAACTGTTTTAAGTTGTATAGGTACCATGATCATCCAACTGTACAATAACTGCCTCATAATGTTGCTGATACAGTTGTCCCTGTGAGGCATTTACTGGTGCTGTGACTTTGTGTTGGGTTGCTCTTTGTGGCCCACTCAAGGCCATAAGAGTCTTCAGAATGGCTGTCAGTTGTTTTC